TCGTAGTACCTTCAAATGTACTTATACTGCCTCACCTCTAATAACATCGAAGGTATTGCGCAGTTGAGAAATACCTTTGGAAGTGTGAACTTGTTAAGGCAAGGGCTACATGGATGTGAATGAGGATATTCGTATCTTCGGTTTTTAAATAACTGTATGACATAATGCAATCAATTTATCAATGCTGATAAGAGTCTTAAATGTCTAAAGAGTTTTATTAATTTGATACGAAGGCATTAAACTTGAAGGTGCGGTTAGATAGCTTTGTGTCTAAGTATAAACAAAAATATAAATATTGCACTCAATATCTAGGTCAAATTATTATGAGCACGATCCACCTGTATCAATAACAAATTAAAGTTTACTGTTTATAACATGCAAGAGAACTTGTTTTGGCTAGAGGAATGGCACGCGCGCGCCCATGGCATTATAAAACGCTTCAACGAAATAACATGTGAGTGATGACCGCATGCTACTGTTTCACCTTCACAGGTTGTGTTCATTGTACTACTCAGTCGCAAAACATTGTGTATGGCCTATTGCGTGATCGAGAGCGCATTGGACGAACACATTCATTGTCCATTGCATTACCCCATTGCATGACTTTATGTAACTTCGTAAGCATTAAGTGCTCTATCCGATTTCTGATCAGAATAATTACCGCATTTCTGATCTCATCTAAAGGTCTTTATGTAAGGCCAGTATAGGCATTAATTTAGATTTTCTAACACAGAGATTTTGCGAAATCTAATTGCGTCTATTTCATCAAATAAAATGGAGCAGTTTTATTGAAGGCTACGGAAAGGAGAACCGGTTGCAGATTAGAATGCATACCTTTTTAAATGCAAGAGTAAGGTTCCATCACACCGACTTTGCATTAAAGAAAGACACCATGAGCTCTAAGCTTTATGCGATGTTATTAATTATTAGGGAGTGTGTCCGTTATTTTGGTGTAAGTCGACCTTTAGATATGCATCGGATCACAAACACCAGCGGGATTAGCCCACCGAGAGCAGATTAATGTTGTGTACCGAATGACCCTAATATTTCCCGTGGAGTTCACGCTGCGCTCTACCGGTCGTAATGAACTAATAAATACAAATGCACTCACTTTTTGCACGGTGCTTTTGATGTTTATATTTCCCGGCTCAATTTTAAGGTAAATTTCAGATAAATTGCTATCTTTTGATCGAAATTATAGCAATTAGTTCGGCGGTCGGTTAAATCTAGAGTAAGAAAGGTATAATTTACGTTCTTTCGCGACAAACAGTAATATGTCGCCTTTCTTAACCATGTCGGGATATCGTAAATACTGTGGATCGACTTGTAATTAATGCAATTTCCGTGAGATGTAATAAATTGATGCCGGTACCGGTGACATTTACATTATAGAGCATGATATCCGTTCACTACCAATTTTCTGTAATTGACCCGCTGCATATCATAGATGTGCAATTAAAATGATTAATGTTTATTCAATAGCTTAATAGCAGTCAATTATAATATACCCAATTTCTAATTAATTAAAAGAAAACAATAAAAATAAGAGAGAAGCTACATACTTGCAGTATATCATATTTATTAATGAGTGATATGTGTAGCCTAAGCCCAATAATAATAAATAACGTATTCAGCTAGTAGCCATTAGTGTTTAGTTAGAATATCCTAATAGGCAAGTGCAAAAGATGACATCTCTGTTGCAACACAAGCTGATGTTTAAATGGTTAATAAATTACATCTTTTATGTATGTTACACGGTAGTTCAGTAGCTACTGAATAATTAATTGAAAGTTTACTCAACGCATGCAACATATTAGCAGTGTGCACTCTGGTACAAGTATAATAAATTAATTAAATGATGGAGGAATAAACAAGACGATGAAGACCATAAAACCTGACCAAAGGCGTCGTTTAACGTCAACCACACAGGCAAAGATTAATTATAACCCTAACATGGTTAATTGGAGTAGGTTGCCATACTTGCCATATTAACCAGTTCCCTTGATTACAGATTAATAACGTAGGAAAGTGAACTTACGCTTTTTCCTCCTTATCACACCCATTTCCTGGTCTCAAACTATTCCCTTTTACTTCCTCGACGGGGTTTGCGATATCCGTGGCCGGCTTTATTACCGGCTTTCTGGTTAGTGTCGGACGTCTATCAACTGGGAGAGCACCGGGAGTTCACCCTAACGCATTCCGAATAGGACATTGTCCAATTTGTGTACGTCCGAATAGTTTTGTTGTGGTGACGTTGCGTTATATTGGAGTTCGAGCGTTGTAATCAAAACAAACAGATGACGGTCGAAACAGACAGTTCGTAGTGCGCGTGCGACGATGCGTGCGCACTGCCCGGGGCGCAAGCGGCGACGGAATGCGCGCACCACCTCGGACTGCCTCGGAGGCTGCGGCGCCGGCGCCCGCGCCCGCAATCGCGACCTCTCCGCTCGAATAAAAATAGAAAGTCTTAACCTGACGCATACCGACTCCTTTTATTTTTACCCCCGAGTTATCTACCCATTATCTGCATCTATATTTCGAATCTGAACCATATTTGACTGACCGGTACGAGAACACTTTCGATTATTAATTTACCAGGCCTAATGATACGACTGATTAAATCTAAAGCTTTAACAATATAACTTATACATAATTATTATTACGGTGCGTTTCTTTTTTGGGAAGAAAATATCAGGAATGCTAGACGAAACAATCCACAGTAGATCGAACATAAAGAGTTCTCAAGAAGGAATGCGCAGCAATTATAAATTAAACCGATCGTGCTACACATTTGCCAAACCAATTAAAACGCAACTTATGTTCAAGCATGAAACAAACAACTGAAGTTAACTGACCTAAAATAAAAATATAACACGGAACCGGTTCACGGTAATACTATAGTATTACCGTGACCGGTTAATTGAATCTGCATACATCCAGAAAGAGCCTTTCAAGAAAGATAACAGGCGCCTCCGCTATTAGCTGGAGAAAATTAGAAACTCCGTAAGTCAATCTGGATACGGCTTTCAGTTTAAAGTGGATTATTAAGCAGGACCTGAGCGTTTCAGCTTTCGAATGGCAGTCCGACAAGTGATCTACATACGGCGAGTGCACCTTGCGGGGTGTCATTAAGCATATGCAAGGATGCCAATTAGATACGGCACGCGACGCTCCATCGTTACAATCCAAAGACCCAATTGACAAAGCCAAACCCGTTCGTAAAAACACATATTCGTTGTTTGTATGTAAACATTTGCATTTCAAAACATTCATATAACGGTCCTTTTGATATTGCTTGGATTCTATGCTAAGTCAGGATCCGTTCTTTCTAGGTGGGCGGGTCGCTAATACTTCAATGTAAACGTACGACGTACGCGAAAGTTTATGCTGGATATCTGTTTTCCTATTTCGATTTATTACACTATTTTACCCTCGCGCAACTATGGACCGTAATAACTCAAAAACTGATTAAAATACCTTTAAATAGCAATTTACTTTGAAAGGAACTAGTTATACTCATCTTTAACTTCAGAAAGTCTAATTAGCAATTAGTAAACCCTTTGAAAGTCATTTAATTGAAGAAAGTGTCATTAAAACGTTGGCGAGTGCTTAAGGTGCGCGATAAATTGGCTATCGTATTGCAGGGTATCATATTGTCGACGCGCTTCAGTAACTCATTTCACAGGTTCACTTTCGAGATCCGCGCCCACGGCACGGATGTAAACCGCAGCGAGGCTTCCTGCGCCCGCTGATTGTCTATCTACAAGCAGTAGCTGCGGTCACTGCCGGCTCTCACGCAAGAATAGGAGAAATGCCACGAAGACTCAGGATTATTACTGTCTTAGGGCCGTCTTACACGCATCATAATACTCGTACATTGAGTTTTGAGATTTAGTTCATTTTGAGATGGGGAACATAGTTCCCTGAATTCAGTTCAGTAGTCTTCTTGACTGTTATAAATTCTACCACATAATACTCTGATGGATCCTTGCAAAGAAGGTAGCTAGGAGATTAAAATTTGATCCATTTAATATACATTTTTAAAACCATTATTTGGAACATTGGAAATCAGAAATTTCCGTGCATCACAACAACAGTATTGAGCCGGACATCTCTATGGAGGACCATATTTTCCGTCATAATCATTCCTAACTTTTTGGTACAAAACAGTACGTCACGTAACACAGAAGTGTAAGATGTGCCTTATACAGATAGAATGAATTAGACGCGTCTGGCTCGACACAAAGGCGAGGTAATTGTGAATCTGTCCAGATTGCTTGTCCGAGATAAGTTACGGAGTGAAACTGATAGATAGCGCGCACGCCAGATAAAATCAGATACCAAAGGGTTTGAGCATAAAGGCCACATCGATCAGAGAAATAGTACTGCACCAGACAATATCCCTAATCACAAATACGCAAGGTAATTACGCCATAACAAGGACTTTCACAAACTTGAGATGCGGACGCATGAAGATTGATAACAAAAGAAAAACGTGAGTACACTACCAGCAATAATTACAGTACAGCGAAAGGTGTTTTGTAGCTAACATTGTAATAACATCTCCCAAATTACAATCTATGACATTAATTTATCGTGTTCGAAAGTAAAACTTAGTAATTTACGCCCGAGTTCATGACTGACAGATCCCTAACGTTACAAAACAATTTTTGTTTATTGCTCAATCACACTCGTGGATGTAAAATAATAACGTGTGTTTTCTGCCTGCCATTTTAACGGTCCAAAGGTGATAGTGTGTTTTACGTGGAATTAGAAACGTTATAGATGCTTTTAATTGCGCCAGCCAATATACCTATATTATTTCAATAAGTATAGAAAAGGTACATATAAGTAGTGAAATGCAGTAATAAAAACGAGATGTTATTTTCATCGTAGCTGCGAGTTCACTAGTGTCAATCGTGCTCGTCTCCTTTTCTATCGGGCATCGGCGCACGACGTAGGAGCGCACGCGCACTCCCGGCGTGCACCTTCTCCCAAGCTCATCCGTTATTTGTTATCCAGCCGCCTAAACAACCTCCACGAATACCGTACCCGATCGACTTTCTATCTGATAACGGACATCATTATACAACATGAATGAAATAGATTATGATTCGCCCGCCTTTTGTTACATTTGCCACTTATTGTGAACGCTTATACTTATTACATAAATTCCCAGTATCAAAACATCGTTCCAAATAAAGAACGTAAAGGTCGAGAGAAAACTTTCCAATGAAATGCAGTAGAAGGCACAACAATAATTGAAGAGTGTTATGTCGTTTTATCTAAAACGATCCCATAATGATCTACATTTTGGTAGACGTCATTTATAATTCGCATTCATTGTGCGATTTCTATTCAGGCATTAGAAACTGAGCATAGTCTAAAACTGTTTAAAGTAATTGATATTCTCTAATAGGACAAGACGCATAAAAGATGATAATTTGTCATTGGCCTTCGAACAGAAAGAAGACAGTTTTAATATGCATACCAAAAAGGTGACTTCATGTATGCCAACGGAACAATATTTGTAACGGCACAACTTAATATGGTTGTATGTAAACAAAAAACCTAAATATATGCATGATGATGATGTCACAAAATAAAACTTTGAACATCTGTGTAGAGCGAATCATCTTACTTGCTTTGAAGGTGAATTCCATAATAGAGCACATGATGCCGCGGACCGCCGATTTTGTGATCGCCATTTTTCCCGTATGGAAGTAAATGACTGCAGAAGTGTCACAATTTTCGCGTGTACTTTTAAATGAGTATGTGTGATAAAGGCGCGTGAATAACTGTGGCCTGCCGACGTAGGCCTGATATCGGCTAGGTTCATTAGAGCGCACCAGTAAGCGCGGGGAGAGCCTATGCAGCTATTGTTGTCCGTCCCTCGGGAGGGTCGAACCAGCTATAGCTCTCGTCCTACTTACGCACACACGCATAAAAATAATTTCATATTGAGAAAGTTTTTCTTTTGTTTACCAGAATAAAGAATATTATATTATTCTGATCACTTCAATAACTTTTTTGTAGATACTGACAATACATAAATACTACATTAGAAACAAATGCATTTTCCAAAATGTAACTGCCGGATGCAAAACTGAAAGTGAACATTTATGGTAAACCACTACAAGTTTAGTATCAGCTTGGAATGTGATGTATTTCAGACTAACGACTAGATCAATTTCTTTTTTGAAAATTATAAATAACTTGAAAAAATCGAACTGCCTAAGGCGGGAATTGAACCCACGACCTTCCGCTTGCCGGGCGACTGCTCTTCCAACTGAGCTACTTAGACACTGGATGAACCCGTCGAAATTTTCAAGTGTAATACGCTGTTACAGCCAGCGTTTGTTTCATCAATGTTAAGTATACCTACCCTACATCTAACAGAAATATTGTTGCAAATATTTAACTGTCAGTTAAGATGAAACAGCTATTTCGTCAAGGAAGGTCGTGGGTTCAATTCCCGCCTTAGGCAGTTCGATTTTTTCAAGTTATTTATAATTTTCAAATTAGTTTGAGATGCGACTCTAAACGCTAAAAATTTAATAACTAGATCAATTTCTATTCATAGAGACTTTCTATTTATTTGAATTTCTCTATCCCCCTATAAAATTCTGCAGTTTTGCTTGTTCACTCTATAATATAACGAATAAAATTCATTAGGAATAATAAACAGGGTATAGTATTACATTCCGAAAAGAGAAACAGTAGCGTAAACAGTAATCACGATTCTTTACATGCAAATAATGTTAAAAGATAAAGGTAAAGATTAATTATTAAGATAACGTACCGTAACCATACACAATAGGCCGTTGCGTACTGATGCGCACTCGCCTCAGGCTGGACCTAGCTGGTAATGTGTTATGCCCAAAATTTGGAGCACCCCGGTGTTGCTCGTGCTCATAGATCGGTGTTCGAGGTAGAGTGCTGTATACGTAGCCCGGTGGCGCTTGGTACATTGGTCGATACCGAAGATCTTCAAACGCCGAGTAGTATTGAGGCTGCGGCATGTGCCTTGATGGTTCCCCATAGTCGATGTACGGGTTGCTTCTGTCCCGCCTATCATAATCGTACGGTCTCTGCTGCTCATAATTATTCAAAACTTGCAGACTCTGAGCAGGATAGCCTTGTTGAATTGGGCGACGCCGATATTTGTCATTTACATCGAAAGGAGTATTGTGTGGTATATTGGTGAAGCGATCATTGGCGAATATCTCGCTCACAGGCAAACCTCCGCTACTACTTATATTACTTCGGTTACTTCTTATACTGCTCCTTGTACTGTTCCGACCCAGTGAACCGTCTCCGCGGACACTTAGCTTCACTTCTAGTCTTTTGTCCTTCATAATTGGCTACATATACTTTACGTATATGTACGTCGACGTCGGTGATATGGTATAAATATTATTGCATCTCTACGCTGTCATTATTCCACTCCAAACATTACACTTTGACATTTTAGACACTAAAAATTAGAAACGCTCTCTACCATTAAACAGATTAATTATAACTTGCGGCGGTTATTATACAACACAATAATGCATCACGAAAGAAAGTAAATAAATGACGGTAACTACAACGCTCTTCGCGAGGCCTGAGTAATGGGAGTTGATGAAGTACAAGCAAATGATCACAAGTTTGAGAACAAGACGCTGTCCAAGTTAATTGAGGTTAAAATAGCTTAGCCGAAACGTCGACACGACTTTAGACAATGTTACTGTCAATCCTCGTGACATGAGATGGCTTATGGACAGCCTCACCGCGATCAATGTTGAAAGAGTAGTTGATGGAGAGTATTTGTGTTCGAGTTCTATTGCACTTGAATAGAAAATTTGCTACACAAAAGGTCTTTCCCTACAAGGGCACTATCAATATAGTGAAATCAGTGTCACTATCAGCATATGTTTTGTAAATTACATAGGTAACAAATCGAAAATATCACCAAAATATGCGGAAACACAAGACAAACACGAAAAGTAAAATTCAGGACAGCGTTTGAAAAATAAAGCACATTAACAATGAAGTCACTAAGCAAACAACTTGTAAGCACGCAATGTTCAGGATTTATATCGGTCGTAATTTTGAAATAACAAAGGAGTTCATTAAATTAAAAACAATAAACAAAAGAATAACTTGATGAATTAATTTTAAGCCATTACAGAAGTACACTTCCACCAACAATACAAGAGCAACTAACTCTGAGGGACAGTTGTTAAGTTATTATTGCAGCCGATAAGATAAGGCTGCTGGTTCAATAACATGTATCATGAACAAATAAGACTCCCTAAGGAACAAAGTTGACTTTGTCATTTGTCTTAGTAAATTAGCATTGTATGGCCTCTATTGTTTCCATTAGATTAAATTCTGACCACGTATATCTTGAAGGGAATTTACCTTGGGTAACAGTCTTCAGTGTTAACATTTTACTAGGTCAAGGTTGTTATCAGTGCGTTCGGAATCAATTACTCATGTGCGGTTAGTTCCGTCTGATTCACGATACATAATCTTTTTATTTTCCAAACACAGTTTCACATTTTAAATGGATACAATGTTAGCGGCTAGCTCTCGAAATAGATAAAAATGAGGTAGCAAAGCAAAAGTGTGCCAGAAGAACAGTTTGATAAATCCATGAAGGCGTATCTCATCCTCAACATGAATTTTATCGCGTATAAGATGAGTGTTGAACGAAAACGTTTCGACACGGTGTGTTAGCCGACGAAGTGTTAAGAAACTTGTCTGTTACTGTTTGTGAATCCAATACTGAGCAATTATCTGTTGTATACAGATCGCCGGGGTATCTAAATAGTGTGGGATCTTCAGTCCCTGTTTGTATAGGACGTTTGAAATCAAGAGATCGCTCCCAGTGTGGGAAAGTATCAAGGTGGTGACGGTGAAATAAACAATTAAGAAACGCTGCACTTACATTAATGTGGTTAAACTACAGAGAAAGTAAGTGCAAACGTAAATGCAGGGAGTATAACATACAATTTTAGGGTTAACGGAGCAAATCCGAACTTCCGTGTGAGACACGACTTGAAAACTGAGCGTGGTTAGTACGTACTTACTAACGTCATAATAACAATAAGATATGACCTTCGCAATCTACTTGAGCCGAAGCGACGTTTCTAGCAAACTACATTTAATTGAAAATTATTTAAGTAGGTACTTTTAAAACAACTCGGGTGCTAATTAGGCGTAATGGAGGCGTTGCAAGGAATGCATTATTGATAAATATTATCAGGCACTTTCTTCACTTCACACAACACTCACTCCAAAGGAAAACTTATCAATTCACTGTTTCCAAAATGAGCACTGAACGTGGATATCGGCTGTGCAATCCGATTTCATACTAATCGAATGCGTCTATATCGTTGGCGTCGGTGACTACGTAGATATCTCTGCTTGGTCACAGATCATGAATTCTGTTGTACAGTGGGTAAGTATGTGTCACGCGACACACGAACACTCGATTATTAAATTTCACAAATAGGTGATAGAATCATAACTCGCCAGCAGTAAGTGAAACACTGTGGGGCTTCGGTCGACGAAGCAAAATGGCACGCCGAGCGCGGAAGATAAGCTGATAAGGGCTATACGTATTTTATACAAAGCGGACATTGCGTAGCGTACCTTACTCCCCATGTTACTCAATTTATTTGCACTTCCTGATTAAAATCTGATAAGCATTTTTGTTTTTACAATATCACCGACTTTTTCAGTCAATCGGTAAAATATTTTCCCAGCCGTACCTAAGTTATGTATAAATCATAATTGTGGGAAAGCGATTGCGAAGTGATTGATTAATTATAATAATATCTACGAAGTTTATGGGTTAGTACATACAAGAGACAGTTCTGTAATAATTTCTGGTAAAGCAAACGATTACTGTTATAAGGTAAAGGCTGGGAAAAGTTAAGTCTAATCATAAAATGAAAGCAGGAAGTGATTTACTAATCTAATAGCCTAATCGAGGATGCAATTTACCGATCTGCTGAATGATGTACGTCCGATCAATCATAGCATCATTAAAAAGTCTTCAGGGAAAATGTCTCTCGTAAATCAATCATTATAATTTCAGTCATTGCATAAACTTTCCTGCAATCGTTCACTTACAGTTTTTAGCGTACCATTTATAAAAACCATGTCAAATGCTAATAAAGTATGATTCCAGGTCTGTGAGGCTTTCTAAACCCAAGCGATTGGAGAAGCAAAACATTTCGGTGGAATAATAAACCCATTATAATTCCGCCGTGCATATCCACGAACTAAACAAACTTTATGACCGATGACCTTTTGCGGGCTCGCCAAATAATGTACGAAAGTCACGTAGCGTTACTCACATAAAAATATGAGTGCAATGGCGCCTTTGTGTGTGGTGAGTGGTGACGCGGCCCACGGGATTGACAGACGAGCTTTGGGGCTTTGGCCGATTCACGCTCGTGATCGCAGACGAGTGTGGTCACGACCGTGTAAAATAATGTCGCAATACTCGACTATCTCACAGGTAGAGCGTGCACTACCAATGTCACCTGGCTGTATAACTGTCCTTATTTACAGCTGAATGCTTTCTAAACGTTCTAAATTACTATATTACAGTCACTCACCATCGTGCACGTCTTCCATCGCCGCCTCCACGGTTTCGGGCTCGGTTTCATCTTCATCAGTCTTCTGATCCTCTTGCTGCTCTCTTTTTTTAATCGCCTGCAAAAAAGGTAACTTTCAAAATACTGGTCTGGATTACTTTCTAAAGGAAACATCGTGCAATACAACAAACAGGCGAGGTGTGCACTGTAAAATATATCTCTGGGCACATCGACAGCGGCGCATAAGGAAGTTGACATAAGTTTCGCGATATAGCATGTAAGTGAAATGGAATGGTCATGCCACAGCACGCAAGCCGTAAGCCAAAACTAAATGCAGCCGAATCTAAATTGAAATCTCGCGTTGTATGTCGGTTTATCTCGAAGGTATCTCACCCGGGCAAGCCATCCTCCAGCTGCTTCCAAGCACCTCATTTTAATAAGTACAGATAGATAAGGAGTAGGTAGTCGTCGGTTTGTTGGCGATTTATTTAACACTACACTGGTATTGAGAAAGCGGCACTTCACTTATCGATTAATCGCGGTACACGAAGCATTGTGAGCGGTACGGTGCAAGGCACTCATTTCTGCGAGCCTCGCGGAGGGTCTACGGTGAGCGATGTGGTCGAGGGCCCGCGCGCATCAGCCCGTAACACCGCCGTATTCCAGCAATTACCACGGTTGAGCCGTGAATCAGAGACTGAGCGATTTATACACTGATTTACTTCTTATTTGTGAACCGGTTTTGATCTTATTCGGGAGTTTTGACTGCACAATGAACGGCTGTGTGAACGGAGCATTTTTTTTTTAGGGAATTTAATTACGTGGCTATATTTTAATTTTGGAAGAAAAAAGCGAACACCCGCGCGGCCGACCGCGTATACTGTGGTCGCAGTCTGTTGGTGCGATGTGAAACAATCTCACGAGTCCATTGTTTCTGCTATTCCCCGTCTAACAAGAAATTTCGAGCCGGCAGCTTTTACCCTTTCGCGCAGCGCGCCGTATAATTTCGAAGTCATTGTGATAAATAAATAATAGCTCACGATTGTAATCAATGTTTTTATTTGACTTGTGCTAAATATCGCCGACGTAATCTCCGTACGGTAACTATTACGAGAACCGTAATTGGAATCGGTAGATCAAAATAAAAAGGAAAGATATTAATAGCATTGATCCTATCAGCTGCAAAGGGGAAATTATGAAATATTGTGGTTGAAGTGAAATGACTGACAGAATTACTAGCGCAGAAGAGAGGTATCTGGCTTACTGGCTTCCATAACATTTATGTATCTAGTATCTTTGTTGATTGGTATCTTTGAAAATGCCACAGAGGCCGTTATCTCGGCATGGATTGATGGAGAACGGTTTCACTTAGAAAAACAATAGACACCAAGTGACATTCAATTTCACTTCTAGGAAAAAGTATTTCTACTGGCTACTAAAATATACTTGGTGGTAGAAATAGTTTCAAAGCATTTGCACGGGTATTATTGAATAACGTCTTGGGAAACTATTATCGTACCGTGAGATAGATACGTCACCGTCAGATAAAATAGCTCAGATAAAAACGAAGGATTTAAATCCCGGAAATCAACTGACGTTTGCAGATACAAAGATTAATTGGCAGGAGATGGAGAAAACCGGGTTTATTTATAAGGCTCATGATTGCTATACAATGTAAAAGAGTGTAAAGCAAAACCCTATAATTTTGAGCTGAGATATTATTAAATCATTACTATAGATATCCATGCCTAGATAGCAGTAAATACGGTACAAATATTAATAACATGATGAAAAACATGATCAGGGTTCATGAAGAATGAAATATGAAATCAAACATGTAAAAACAACAGTCAATTTAGTTAGAACATCTAATAAACATGCATACATCTACGGTTAGAACAGAGATCAACATTAAGAATAAAAATTCTACATTCACAAGTTACAACAAGAATAAAATTAGCATATAAACAGATAAAGTAGTACAGACACAACTGTTAATTGTATTATTCCTTTGCTATTGAAGTTTATTAGCATATCAAGTACACAATGCATGCGGGTAACTCGCTTTGTCGTTGTATTAAACGCTCTATAGCATATCAAACACCTCTATAAAGTTAAGATTGTAATTTATCTCAATGTGTAAACCGAGACTATCTTTTTTCGAGACCAGCATAGAAATCAAGGAACTTTTCACATTAGCATGTATCGGAAATTGGGGTTATGTGGGCCCTAATTTGGAAAAAAAAATACATCATAATGTAATCAGTGGATAGAGATTCTCAAGTATCTAGATTTTTCAAAACTGTCATGAGAGACGCTGGCAGCATCGATATCAAGGAACTTTTGACTACGCTGCGTTTCACGCGCTTGATAAGAACGCTCGATAATGATGAGTCCTTAAAAACTGTGGTCCCAAGGCCGGCTTCACAACCACCCATTAACCATTACTTTGACATTGTACAGAGCGTTTAACATCACGTCAACGCAAACGTGCAAGCGGCACCTGCGCTATTAGATCGCGCGCTCGACCCGCGTCGATCTGGTTCACGCGTTTGTTCTTCAAGTGGTGGGGCGTGTCGCGGCGGTGCAGCCGGCCTGCTCCAGGGCCCGCGTCTCGGTCCTCCACCGTCGTGCGCCATGCCACCCGCCGAGAACCATGCTACCACCATCACCGGGTTATTATGGGTACAGAGCAGGGATGTCATGGATATCCGTAACCGTAACCGAAACTTTCGGATATACCCATTCTATTCTTAAGGCATGAACTGTGTTGGACGAATCTACACTATTGCATTCTATACTTAGCACAGATATCCGTAACGTAACCGTAACCGAAACTTTCGGATATTCGAAATAAAAAAATATCCGTAACCGTAACCGAAACCGGTATAATATTATTCCAATATCCGTAACCGTATCCATAACTGAAACTACATATCCATAACATCCCTACAGAGACAGCACAAACTATTTCAAAACTGCTATTCCCAAAACGCTGTTTTTTCTATTCCGGGTCTATCTGTCACCGTCGCTCATGCTGGTATCTCGCTTTGCGTGAGAGGGATGGCAACATTCGAAACTTCGGATAACGTTTTTGGGAGTAACCCCACTGTAATAATTTATACTAAAGCTACGTCGATCTGGTTCACGCGTTTGTCCTTAGTGTTGGGGCGTGTCGCGCCGGGACCCGTGTCGTGGTCCTCCACCGTCGTACGCCATGCCACCCGCCGAGAATCATGCTACCACCATCACCGTGTTATTATGGTACAGACGACAGCACAAATAGACTGGTTGGGTTTCATTGGAAGACAAACACGAAACTATACACCACTATGGCCTTCAAGGCCTGGTGAATATGAATCTTTTGGACAAGCCCGCTCAAATACCGGGGTGAGATTGTTGTTATCAAGAGCAAACACTATACTACATTAAAAAAACTATAGATCCTGGGTATACAGTTGTGGAAGAGGTGGGATTACCCCCGTTATAACTAAATAAGATGCTACGGTATTTACCTGTGTGCTGTCATCTGTACAATAACTATCAAATCGTCTATTTCTTATAATGATTACTAATCGTCATCCTGATATCAAAATTAATTCACATTTATTTGCAGAGACAATAGGCAAGCCATTTCTGTTGTCAGAACTCTTGCTAGGAAAGTGGTTAGGTAATTTTACTTACTCATTTTTATAGTTTTAATTTAAGTATCTTATTCACAAACACTAACACAATCTTTTAACATAGTTTTAACTAAAAGACGACTTCTCTTTCTATCACTATCAAATCATTCTTTGACAGAAAGTGGCAAATCTGATGAATTAGCTAAATATTCAAATGGTGATATATCACAGAAAGAGTTAATATGTAGGTATGTAAGTGTTTTGTCTGAATAGGCATTATTCAAATTGTAATCTAACCTCTATTCGTCGGGGGCAAAGTAATGGATGTGATTGTTGCAAGAATTGAATAATAACGTTTGGGATTGATCGAGCAAATAGTCTGTTAGCGACTGATTTGAAGATCACGACGATTCCTTTTGTTGTCAATTTGCTTGTGGAATTTTATGATCTGTACTACGAGACAATAAAGAGTGACGTACCATTATGTCCAATACAAATAATGAAGTACTATCTTCCAAACAATCAATGTGTATTACGTTTAAAGGTATATCATCACACACAGGATGTCTTTTAGTAATCATTACTTTTTCCTATAATCCTTTAACAGTCCACTCATCGGTAAACATTTTAGGATATACATATTTAATATCGATTGGTAACTAAGAGGACGACTGCAGGTTTTAAAGAAACTTTCAGTAGAAAATCGAAGATCATTTCAATAGAGTTAAAAAAAACTATCGATCGAGCCAAATGTTCGCACGAACGTAAACATAATCTCTATTATATTTGAATTGTACGACCTGAATACTTGTAGATTCAATTCTTACTTTCATTGGTAATATCACTCAGAAAAATAAATTCTCGTTAACATAACACAAAATGCTGGTTCATTCCCATAGAGCGATTACAATCGCTCTCACAGTACGTGACTCAAATCAACTTTTTTGTGGTTCACGGCTTATAAGTGTGCAATTATCATCACTCTAATACTTTAGCATTTTAATTAACGCAAGAAATGTATACGTATCTATTATTCATTTCAGATAATTATTTAAATTACAATAAATATAGGTTGAGGATCCAATATGGATGCTTGAATGCGAAACAATATACTGACCAGAAATGAAACAGCTACCCTAACATTAAACGGAAAATGTAGTAATAATATTAACCCCTATAGTCGTCCTCTTAACTATAAAATTATGCTGAAAGAAAACTACTTGTAACATGTCTTCTTAATTAAATTAACTTCCCTACTTATTATTCCAGATCCACATTACAGAATACAATTTGCAACTAAATTAATATTGTTATAGTTAGTCCCCTGTTGCTGTTAATGAGAAAATTTCTAAAGAAAGTCACTCTAAATACCGGTGAAGTGTGACGAAAGTATTCGATGTTCATAACATTACAGTAATGAAATGACAAAATTATTAATTTATGTGTTTCTCTTCAGCATTATCGTACAGCAAATCGTCGGGCTATATTTCAACGGTATTAAAGTGACTTTAAATTAGTATAATACCTTTATAGTATTCTAAGCTCTATGCCATACAGTAATAGATGCTAAATAAGTAATCTCGTGCCATACCTCCAACTCGTCAGAGTCGTCGTTTTCGTCATTTTCGCCTTCGGAGGATTCCCTGCCGTCTGCTGCCGTTTGGTTGTCGCTATCGTCGTCTTTTACAATCTCGGGCGGAGCTTCATTATTGTGTACAGTCTGTGAACAAAATGACATAATCAAATTCACACATAATCACATACAATAAACACAAAAATATAAAAAATATTTGACATTTGACGCAAATTATGTTGTAAAATTATATGTGAACAAATTACAAATAACAATAACAGACTATTGAATCTGTCAATTGGTTAATAAACTTTTTTCAATGATTAAAATGAAAATAAATAAGAAATAGTAAAAATATTATAATGATAACACACTAACGCAAATTATTGGTCATGAAGAAGAATTTATTATGTTAAACTGAGAATATATGTTTGTTTATCCCTACGTTTGTTTCTAAGATATCTTTAATAATGAGGATACTTTCTTTACAAATTAGCATGGACAGTCTGGACATTAAAAACGATAGATTTTTGTTGCAAAATAGCTCCAATCACAACTGCCTAAGATGCCACGGTGTTAAACTTAATATGCTGTCGACGATATAAGAAAAGGGTACGTACTTCAACAACCTCTACAGGCAGAGGGGCAGGTTCTGGTGCCGTCAATGGGAGTCCGTTAGCCGTAGGCTGTTCGTTTGGCACCGTGACGACCTCTGGTGACCGGCCTAGCAGCTTGTGTGCCTTTGCCTTCAACTCCTTCGGGTGAGGCGTGTTTTGACGCACGAACGGAGTCTGGAAAAACGGAATTATTAGAACATTTGACAATAAATGCTACAGCAAACGCACTAGAGTTCATTTTGTAATAAGAACACCGAATTCCAATGCGTAAAGAGAAGCATGCCATGCTTATAAAAAGTGAGCGAATTAGATATGTATAACAACTATCTCTGTATAAAATTGTGATGTGCATATTCTAATTAATCTGCTAATTATGAAAAACATTAAAATAACAATCATAAAGCTTGAATGGTAAAAACGTGTTCAGGAAGCTAATTGCTTTCTACTTTACCATAAGTACTCCAATGCAAAATTATGGAACAGCTAGCAGTATGTCCATTAAATCTAGTAACTACACTGCGATCTGTACAATGCGTAAGTTACTTAAGCGTGTCGTTTTGTGGATGAATTATGTTAGGTGTGTGTCCATTGTGGCAGAGGCCACCGAAAATGGTAATTGTCATTTAACCTACACACATCATTTAATAAATGAGGCGAGGCTACGTGAATCACAGGATATGATATCACAAGCAGCTTCTCACCCGCGACAGAACGACGTCTGCGATACGAAGCTAATCTAATGTTAAGTGCATTTCAAACAAGGTGCGGTGTGTTACAATACTTGTGTTGGTAACAAACTGTTTCGGGTTAATCGCTCAAATTACAGGTCAAAATCAAGACACAGATTAAAATGACATCAATCATCAACGGTACTGGAACATGGGTGATCAATGGAAAGTCAGGTTTGTTTCACGCGATGCAACGCAGGTATGTCATTGTGTTTGGATTCGTAGTTGGATTGCAAAAGTATATCAAAACTAAAACCATTCTAGTCTAATGCCACAGGTCTACTTTCAGCAACAAAAAAATGTTATCTAGGACCATAGATGTTTCGGTTATAGGAAGGAGCAAGACGTTTAATGGCTGGCAGCACATACTGACTCGCTTGGGGTGTAATCACAGTTTTAAAGAATAAATTATAACGACGCAAAATGCGATATACTTCAAATCTTCGCGGTGAATTACAGAATGTGTTTGTTCTACTCCTACAATCGTAATTTACGGTGTAGCGATCCTTTATCAGGCGTCTTACGTCATCTGCGATAACACGAGTTTACCTCTTTAGTTTCTTCAATGTTCGTGGGTTATTTATTTTTCACAGTATACAATATAGTACACATCAATATAATTTAGTTTGCAAAAAAGAAAGCAAGGGCTTTCTGCAGATAACAAATTATTTTAAATAACTACATATGTAATATCTTGTCGTTTTTCCTTTCTGTTAACGATTCCAAATGTATTTTTAGCAGTCCGCTGTCTCTTCTCATTTTAATAACCGCGAGATGAGATGTAGATTTCAGAATGAAAATCTATGTATTTTTCTTATTTTCTTCATCTCCCTCTAAATTAGGTGTAGCTTTTGGTCTAGTTAGTTGGCTTGAATTATTCCTTTTAATGTTTATAAAAAAATATTAATGTAACGCGAAATATTTAAAATAATTTATGTGACAGTTTACAGGTTCGCATGTGATTGCACCCCTCGAGTCGTTCGCCTAATACCTCCGAGAGGTTAGTTATAGAAGAGGAGAGCCGTTGAAGCGAGCTCCTCCGCTGAGTGGTGACTAGCTTGCGGACTACGTTTATAGGCCGCCGGAAAGCCAACATCGACTGTGGCGCGAAGAAATGGTCAGTTGGCGTGGTATCTTCATTGTCCTCCTGTATCGATGTCACCTTAAAACCAAACATTCTCTTTGTTTCTTGGGACGAGTGTTACTGACTTTTGTGATTTTTAAAATAAACTTTTATCACAGTTATAATAAAGTCATTTACTTGTGTTCGCTTAGTTTATTTACCAGCGCGTTCATTTTGTCGACATATTTTCGATAGCTTCCAAATCCTTAGCAATTACTTCAATAAGACCTTACACATAGAAATCATTACAAATTAAAACGAATAAGACAATATGCAATATAATTAAAAACGATACGATAAGTATGGATATGACTAGATCAATACCTAATAATACCTACCTATATTCGGTTCTTATGAAGTGAGTTAATTTAACACAATTGAGACAATTCCATTTAACGTGTTATTACTTACTATTAATTTTGTGTTTCATGCTTCATTGCGGTTAAGTTTCGAGTGCATTTAAGGAAACTCGTATAAACAATACAAACTTAGGCATTTAAAAAGTATTATACAGTCTTTAATTAGTCAATAATAATATTAGTAAACTGATACGACATATGTATTAATATTTATGCAACACAAATGAAACATAAACATTAAGAAAAAATAACATTTATTGATTATATTCAAACAAATAAATAAAACAAATAAACTTAAAAACTAAGGAAATAATACTGAATTTACAAACGAATGGCAATCACAATAAAATAATACTTTAATAGAATTTTAAGACAGTCGGATCTTCGACTGAGACAAAATAGAAACATTTTTAGTACACAAAATTAATAGCATGCAAGTTAAGCATATAAAGTTTTTAATTTAAAATATATGACAATACATAATTAATTTTAGTGCGCTTTTACAATGTCTAACTTTATTTAAAGCACAAGTTTGACATTATGACATGTAAATTTTTGTATTGGCCTAGTGGGAGTTCTTTTCAGACCATAAAAGGTTTTAGTTGATTGAAAAATTAGGCCAAGTGCCCATTGTAGTGGAGGCAGGCGGTTCGGAGACGAGTTTTCATGCATTTGCACGCGTTCGCGCCGCTTCAACACGTCAGATGCATGAAAAATCCGTTCCTCACATCTCCGCTTCAATGAAAACTCAGCCTTATTCTAAAGCTACAAGTATTGTACTCAAAGTTAAGTAAGCTCTGTGCATCGAGCATCTATCGCGTACTCTCCTGAACCAAGCCCTAGTGCGTCCGTACCGTTGCCTAACAGTGTTGCGAGCTCTGTGAAAGCCGATTCCCTCGTACTTAAGTGATTTGTAAGCTTGTCTTAAATTACTTTTCGGTGTGACGTAACTGTGTCTCGAACTACCGTGAAACCCGTGAAACATGTTACAGCACCATATGCTCACCTCTCTGGTTTCTGGCACGTCTTCGGTGAATTTGACGGAATGTGTTCGTGATGCCTCCTTCTCTTCCCAATCTTCGTTATCGGAATCTCGGTCGCGCGGTATCGTTTCTGTTTAAACACAAATAATTTCATTAGAAAACAGTATTGGAAAATATGGTATTTTAAGTGTGTGTTAAAGTGTAAAAATACAGCCTTGGCCAAAAGTATTGAGCACCCATGATATTTATTAATTTTGAAGGAATTATACATGTGTCTGAATCAAAACAGTTTTTAACAGTTTTATATTGTTTATTAACAACAAAAAAATAATACTTTGTTGGACCACCCTTTGCCTTAATTACTGCAGAAGTTATTTTTGGTAAAGATTGTACTAATTTATTACAATCGTCACATGTTAAAGCGTTCCACTCTTCCCGCAAGCGACGTTTTAGGTCTTCTTTTGTTTTTATTCAATGGCGCCGGACCTTGTCCTTCAATAGACCCCACAAATGCTCGATGGGGTTCAGGTCTGGTGACTGGGCAGACCATTCAAGCAGCTCGATGTTATTGTCACTAAACCAAGCCATCGTTAGTGACAAGGTGCGTTATCCTGCTGGAATTTGACGCTTTCCATGTTGGTGTCACCAAAAAGTGTTGTAAACGAGGGCAGAAGTGCGGATTCAAGAACGTTTATGTACTTTGTAGAGTCCATGCGTCCTTTACACACAAACATTTTCCCAACTCCTGCGGCGCTCATGCACCCCCAGACCATCACACTGCCGCCGCCATGTTTGACGGTAGGTACCTTACACTCCGGGGTAAATTCTTCGTCTACTCGACGACGGACAAATGTCACACCAGGTGTGCCAACAATCGTAAAGTAACGAAATTTTGTTAAGTGTTTTTCGGTCCAATATTTATTTTTACAAATATAGTTTTATAATATTATTGTCGCGTATTGTTATTACATGATATTGGCTAACTTACCTCAAAGTTTGATTCATCTGACCACACAATATTTTTCTAATCTTCCTCGGTAAAAGTTTGGTATTTTAAAGCCTACTCGTAACGAGCTGTTTTGGTCTTTACTGAGAGCCATGGCTTCTTTCTGGCTGTATAGCCCTTAAGCCCAGCTTCTTGGAGTCTTCTGCGAGTTGTTCTTGCAGAAATCGGCGTATTAATTTCAGCTGATAACTCAGCAGCGAGGTCGGAAGAAGATTTTTTATGATTTTTCAAAGACTAACAATACTACAGTGTCATAGCTAAACATCTCGAAACGTGTTTTATTGCACGTTGTGCCGTGAGTTTATGTTTCAAAACCTGTCAAAGAAAGGTTTTTATCAAATATCTTTGAGTATCTTTTATAGTTATCACGTATAAGCAGTATTTAGGGGGTGCTCAATACTTTTGGCCAAGGCTGTATATTTTCTCTTCAATAGGTCTTGATAACTAGTTGACTATTGTTGAATGGTTAAGTTTTTGTTTTGAAAGCAACAGAAATTCTTATTTAACAGACAATTGAAATTGAAAGCCAATAGAGTGTTAAGAGTGTTTATTTAGTGGGTTATTTCGAATCGAATACCCAAATATTTCATATCCCAAAAATATATAAAGTTAAATTCTCATTAAATTATGACTTTAAATTAAATAACTGGAAATAATAGAGCCACCTAAAGATCGAAGTAAAAAATACGAGTCATAAAGCACGGACGACAAACATTACAAAAAGCATACAACACAATATGGGCCACAATATAAGTGTGGGAATCTAATGGACAAAATAATTGTTAATGTAGACTTATAATCATGAAATGTGGTCTATGAAACTTTAAAGCACTTTAGGGTATGTTCACATTGCTATCTACTAGCGACATTTACACAAAACCGCGGAGAAAATGCAATAGTCATGGGTCTCATACGAATCTCGCATAGCATTGTGAAAATACCTTTTTTTACAGACGACAGCACACCAAGCTAGAAACTGTAGTCTATTTTATTTGTAGTAATGTAGTTGTAGTAATTATGTGCTATTTTGCAACAAAAATGTCTCGTATGTGCTGTCGACTCTACCTTATTATAAAGTCTACACTGTGCTTATGATACAAGTGAAAAAAAAATTAAGCGACAATGCAAAATAAATTAGCGGTGTCAAACTCAATTATTCGGAACACACTATTCATGTAACAGAATTTCCATATCTGTTTCGAATAATTAAGTAATTAAAATGATAATAATAAATTGTAATAGAAGTAAGGGTTCAGAAATGGTTAAAACTTTACACTTGTTTTTTTTAATAAATTATAAAGTCACATTTACAGAAATATAATTTGCTTCTGCAAATACGAATTTTATTTTTGTTGTTCGTATATCGTATAACACGACTCGACTATATTTTTTGGTTGTTGGTTAATGTGTGACGTATAGCGCTCATCGCATAAATTTCAATTACTGTCTGCTGAACAATGGAATTATAAAATCAAATCTATATAAATAAAAATGAATTGCTGTTCGTTAGTCTGATTAAAACTCGAGAACGGCTGGGCCGATTGAGCTGATTTTGGTTTTATAATGTTTGTCGTAGTCCAGGGTAGGTCTAAACGGTGAGCAAATAAGGAAAAATTGCGATGGCTTATTTATTGCCTTTAAGGCGGAACAGAGTTCGCGGGGTCAGCTAGTCACTAATAAAAATTCATCTTGTCTGAACCATTACTTCACTACCGTGAATATGTATAGGTATTTGTGAGCCTTACCTCTTATTTTATCTAGCTCTTGCGATTGTGACATAAATCTGTGATCCCTGAACCAGTTTCCACTGCCGACCTCTGTGTGATCCAGCTCTATTCGTAGTGTGGTAAGTGTCAAAAGTGGCTTTTAGTATTTACACGGCAAAAACAAAACAATAACGCAACTGGGACCATTCGTAACACTAGTCATACTTGACAATAATGAAAATATACACCATAATGTATATTGCAATTAAACATAAATCACAAAGATCGTCATTTCTTATTTTCAACTTCAATAATAATATTAAAAATATGTGTTCGTAAGTAAGACAATGTTTAAAAATGGCCACAGATCGCAGCAGAATTAAAGGAAAGCACAAAAAAGCATTCACAAGAGCGACAATTACACCAGCTCACATCACAACATCTATTACCAAAGATTATGAAACTGGATATACATATTTGCAAATGATGCAAGTAAGTATAAAAAAGATTCAAAATTTTAAAAATACTATTTAGTGCACTAAGAAAATACTGAAGTAACTTATTTTAAATTCTCTCTACATTGAAAGAGGTCAAGATGCTGAGAATAAATAACAACTTGTGATGCTTAAAAGATTTCAATAATAAAATATTTAAAATTATATTTATAATCAAGATGCATTCATTGAAAATAGTAAAAAAAGTACTATGGATTACGCGAATTTTAGTGTATTCGGGCAACCAAAAACTCGATTTCGATCACTATCTATTTAAATAATGATGTTATATCTGAACCAGTAGGCATTGCGTTTGACGGTGAAAGATAAATAAAAACTACCCGTCAAACACAATACTACAGGTTCAATTTGAGTATTTAGGCTTTCAGTGTACATTTACAATAACCAAGAACAAAACACCAAAAGCAAGTAAATGATAATGCAAAGGGCATACCTGGTTGTTGAGTGTAACTAAGCTGCGGTAGCAGAAAGCAAGTGAGAACATTCTCTCCGGTCGTTTCGTCTCTATCGGTTTGGAAGGTCAGTAGCGGTTGCGCTTGATTTTCTGATAACCACACCGCTTTCAATTCCAAATTAACTAGTGTATATGGTAAGTACTGTAACCTGAAAGTCCAGTATCAAGAGTTAGTGACACGAAATAAGCAGAGTTCATAAAACTTTTGCGATGACTTCACGTAAACAACGTTGATTGCAAAAACTTCGGTAAGTATAATGAATTTGCCTCATACCAGCGCTGTTCTAATTAGCGAGTTTGGGAATATGTTCCGAGAAGTTAAACTCTGGAAGGACACATTACCACTGACGTACTTTGTATAGGAACATCGGAACCACAAAAGCACGCAGCGTTAGATAAATAAACCAACGTGTTTCCAAACTATCTCGATAGCACTTTTTAGTGCTTCAGCAAAGATTTATTTCATTGTTATTGTATTTCTTAAACAATTTTTCAACATTTTAAAGAGCAAGTAAAAATATGCGGTGATTCATACCTGTTTCCACTAACATCTAAAACGTGCAGCGATTTACAATTCCCCAGCTCGTTTGGTAGTCTCGTTAACTTGTTGTCCCTTAAACTTAGCACTCCCAACAAAGTCATATTCCCAATATCTACCGGTATTTCACCCAAAGAGTTCCTATCTACATTCAGTACTGTCAACTCGTTGAGATTTCCAATCGACTTAGGCAGCTCCATTAAAAAATTCTCCGTTAATATAAGCTCTTGTAGATTTGTACACCTGCAAAATTAGTACATACGGTTAGAGTCGTAAACAAGGAAGATAAACTAACTGGTATAGGATTAAAGTAAACAGTTACCAACCTTCCTACATTATCATTTAACGTATGTAATCTATTTTGGTCCAACTTTAATATAGCTAACTTGGATAAGTGTCCGATACCGTCTGGTACCGTTTCTAACATGTTTTGTGATAGGTGCAGGTCGGTCAATGAAGATAGTCCCCCGATGTCTTCTGGAAGTTTCTCCAGTTTGTTCTCGCTGACGTCGAGGCATGTCAGCGCTTTTAGGTTTCCTATTTCTGGTGGTAAGTACTGCAGTTTGTTGTGATCCAACCATAATTCTTCTAGAGCGGGCAGCTCACCGATGAAACCCGGCTATTGAACAAAAATCAATTTACAATTCAAATAAAAAGTAAAAGTCACTACTTCTACTTCATTAAAAGCTTCGAACTTACCAATTCTTCTATTTCATTGTCCCCTAAATCCAGTCTCTCTAATTTGGTAAGGTTTTTCAGAGACTCTGGCAATGACTTCAGAAGATTTTCTCTCAACTCCAACGACTGCAGCGACACCAAACTGAAAATAAGAAATAGGAATATTTTTAAATAAGTTGATTGTAGAACATTATAATGTTTCTCATCGTTTCAGTGCTATTGTAGGTCAATAAAATGTTTCTCAATGTGAACAATAACTCTGTAAATAGGAATAAAACGTTATTGTATAATTCCAGTGCAAAACGGACGTAACCTTCAGTGACTGTGACATAATAATTGGATGAGACAAGTCAACGAGGCGGAAACACAATAGAATTACTATCAGAGAGACAACAACCTCCAGTCATAACCACATATTGCACCGATGCAAGGTGAGCTATGATGAATGTCATTATCAGACAAACACATCGTTGTCTGTGAATGTGGTTGAAAATACAAAACCTACAAATTTGAATATTATCGTCGCTAAAATTAACGGCACATTTCTAGGTTGAATAGCTGAAACGTTTACATAACCACTAAACCGTCGTTTTAGTAGAACACTATCATAATTGACTAAACACTATCATATTTACTTATAAGAATATTAATAATTTTACAAAAATCAAGGACACCCATAATAGAAATACCAGACATAAGGATAAACTTTACTTACCTCAATCAAGAATTAAAATGTTAAATACCAGCCCCTACTACATGTCAGTGAAACTATACAACAAACTTCCTGAACACATAAAAACCGAACCTAACATTAAACGCTTTTCTAAAGCTCTGAGACAATATTTAATACCTAAATGTTTCTACTCAATTAACGAATATCTAACAACTGACCACCGAAAATCTCTCTAGATACTTTAATTTGTAATCTGCTTTATTTGTTATTTTTTAGCATCGAAGTATGCAATTATGTTACTTCTCATAATATTATGTATAATGAATGTATATAGCCACCTACTCTGTTGCAATACCTCCTAGGTCACTAAGTCTTAAGCCCATGTGTATGTAATTTCCACCATTACAAAAATTGTCACTTAGTACGCAATAAAGATTTGAATTTGAATTTGAATTTGAATTAGGTCAACCGATCACAGGCATTCGCGATTCAGAACACAATGGTGGTGCAACAGAGTTTAATTAAAGTTTTGTGGGCGTTTGTGTGATGAATGGAATTAATCTTATTTAAAGGATTTAGTGAGTACTACTTAATAAATATTGTGTGAATATTTGATTAATAAACAGATGACACATCAGATTTATTTCCAGTTGACGGGTGCGTCGAGGGCGTTCACTCAATGGGTGATGCTTAATCGCGAATCACAATAAATGAACCATAAAATCAGCGTGCGATTCATTTATTATCTATAGTATCAAATGACGAGTTTCGTGTCAGTGTTATTAGTGGTGTCTGCAATCTGTCTGTCGAGTCAATGACTCGTACGCTTCTTAAAATAATTAGCTGGATAGTAAACATCTGTACAATATTTTGGCGTTAGTGATGTTGCTAATTACTATAGATTTTTTATATATTTTGTAGTCAAAGGAAACACGATATGCTTCATAATAATATTACTTAAGTATTGACCCATCTGCGTCTAAAAAAGCACAAGTCTCTTAGTTGTGTTTATTGAGAGCAAGTTTCGCGTCACGTCGACAAGCGACACAAAATTATCCTGTTAGGAATGCGCCATCAAACTGCATGCAGAAAATCCGGTTTTTGCGTCTTATAAGCCACTTCAAGTATTTCTCAGAGAATGTTGGTTGAACTTCTAGTCATAATCAGGGTGTCCACTGCAAATCTTCGAAAAAATTCCCTGACTTTTCCCTGACTTTCCCTGACATTTTTTTCAAAATTCCCTGACCAACTATGTATACAACGTGTCCCAAAATTCAAGAATAAGCCGACGCCACAGGATGGACATAGTCATGACTACTTTAGGAAAAATAAGGAAAAAAATCTATCTCAATTATTTTTTAACTTACACAATAAATTATGAAATTCAACGAAAATTGACACCCCTTATGATATTTTACATTACCACGACCNCTGCAAGGATTCTGGGGGTTTTAAGAGTTGGGGTGGACAGCAACACTAGGGCAGGTGACCCGGTTTTGGCCATTTTAAGAATTTTTTAGACTTTGAGGCTATATCATTTTACAGTTTTTGTTATCACGGACTTATTTCTTGTAAAAAGTGATTAAGTATATTTAGATCTAGCCTAAGAATACAATTTTTTTCATAATGATTCAATGGAAAAATAATCCTGTAGAAAAGAAAAAGAAATGGGAATTTGTGCCATTTTTGGCCAGCTTTACCCCATTTCTGGCCACAGTCATGTGCCAGTTCTGGCCATCAATATTCATTAAAAAAAAACAAAAACTACTTGACGGATTTTAACGAAACTTGGTACAATTATTTTTCATACTCCTGGACAGGTTATAGTATACTTAGGAATTCACACGGGAACAGGAATTAGCGGGAAAATCCTTTTGTATGAAAAATCTAAACTGCTTAAGTTAGACGCTTGAAATTTGGTATGTAGGTACCTTAGTAAACTTAAAGCTTAGTTACAACAAGGAATTCCCGAAATTCCCACGGGAACGGGAATTAGCGGGAAAATCCTTTAGTATGATAAAATCTAAACCGCGTAAGATAGATGAAGGGGATAAAACGGGATCCACGCGTACGAAGTCGTGGGCGGCCGCTAGTATGAAATATAATATCTCAGCTTGAATTGAAATTACAATTAAGGAGATCAACATTANCTGCAGTGTATTATAAGGTTTGGTACTTAATGATTACTGGCTAGTGAGTTGTTTGTGGGTACACTTACTAACTTGTTAATTTTTATACAAGAATAACTTAATTGATTATTATTTAGGTTTTGATAACAATTAAAAGTTATTAATTTTAGTTAAGTGCCATTCTCTTAGATTTGTATAAATAAGATTAATATAATTTTCATATAACTTTTGGAAAATATTTTTGCCACTTAGTTTTTTATTTTCAAAAATAATTTTATTAAGCTACCTTCTTCGAGGAAGTTTTTTTTTTTTAAATTATGGTTAAATTGTGGTTATACCAAGGTTCTCGGTCGTAGGACTTAGGATTTTTTTTTTCTGGGTAGGTGGGTTCTTTACTTTGGTACCTAACTTATGAGTTTAGTTTTTAGAATATATTAGTTTTTACACACTCGTGTTGTGTAATGTTTTCTGTTGGGAATTTACTAACGGTAGATTGTTTTATCGCAGTTTTTTTGGACACAATAGTATTGTGTAGTTCTTCTGTTGGAAATTCAATAGATTCTTTTATAGCAATTTTTTTTTATGGACACAATCGAGTTGTCGGGTATCTGCTACAGTTTTGCCTCGGTGCTTTATCTGTAACTTAAAGTTCAGATATAATTTTTTTTCCAGAGATTTTATCTCTGTGTTTTTGTTTTGTTTTGTGTGAGTGCTATGTATCTCCTATATACATNAAATATATTAAAGGCATAAACTTTTACAGTAAAGACGAGTTCATGAAGAACTAGAAGTTTTATTTTCTTGTACAAGATTATTACGCACCGTTATTAGCCCGCAGTCGTTTATGTATTAAACTAACTTGTTTATACTCGGTATGTAGTAGGTACTTATTTAAAATTAAATACTCGCTGATATAAAGCAGTTTCGGAGAATTCCAAAGCTAAATCAAATTTCATTTATGACAAAACGCCGACGAAATAACGAATATTCTCGGAAACAGCAATATGAAAATTTCTCCGTGTTGTTTTGGTTTAGTTCTAACCGCAAAGCGAGTATTCATTGTTACTGTTGTTTTACGCTTGCTATGGATTTCCAGAACCCTTGTGTTGACATCCTTGTTATTGTAATTCCAAAAACAAACCGGTTGGCATTTATGTATAATGGGGCAATAAAGGCAGCGTCCGTCAGTGCATTTTTAAGGAGCATCGCAGCGCATGTCTTTTAATGGACACGATTAAGCAACTTTGTGCTGCGATAACTTGCTGGCGAAGTTACGTCACGAGAATATTGTTAACTGATAACACGCACTGTACTATACATCACGTTTAGAACCTTGAGGCCGCATTCCTAAGCAGATGTCAAAGTACTTAGCGTCGGTTCTACAAACATCGCGATGAATCACTCAGTCCGCTGCGTACTCGCTCATCAAACAGCCTTACGAACACGTTTTCTGTATTCGTATGATCAGGTAATCTGCCCCACCCCTGTATAAAACATACTTATCAACGTAAGCTTTTAAGTAGAGCAGTTTTAATTAGACGACTCGTCTTTTAATTATTATGAACTTGTTTGCAGTACGATTATCAAGAAAATAATATTTCAGTTATCGACTATCGGTATGGTTATCTGAGGATTGTTATGATTACAAATATTTATGAATGTATATTTTTTTACTGGATCTTCTATGCAGATAATAAAGAAAAAGAAATGTTTTTAACTTAGTCATGCTAACATTTGCCGATAGTCTAAAAGTCACTATTATTATGCTAAGGAATTTCAGAGTCATAATAAAACGGGAAAGTATTTAAACTTCAGCTATCGCAGATATTAAGCTCTACGAGTCAGGTGTTACTTGTTCTCAGCTAAATCTTAAAATACCTAAGATTGATAGATATAGGAAGATATAATAAATAAAAAAAAGTCAAAACGCAAGTTATAATAGTCTCGTGCGTGACTGAATGCTGTACACGCGATGAAGGGTAACGCATTTTCTTACATAACTTTTCAATTCCTATCATTGGAGGTCCGAAAATATTTCTCATACAATTTGATACCATAATGATCATTCTTCATAAAAAATTTAAAACCTACATATTTAAAGACATAATCATTGATATTCATAATATCACTAATCATACACTTAGTTTTTACTAATATTTGTTTTCATATATTTTTCTATACTAATGATCGAAACTCATAATCATTCGAATAAATAACTATAATATTCATAAATGTGATGTATCCTAATATATGTTTTCATAAATTTATTACTCATAAGTGTATTTATCCATATTATTGAAATACATGATGTCTATATTCGTATTAAATCGTATTTTAATATTAAATTAATTTGAAATGGTCCAAAACAGGCAATATTTTGTGCCACAAAACTAACGTGACAGAAACGAATCGCTGCAAAACCGACTCCACGTAGTCTTGTCTGCCCTACCCCTAGAGTGTAATTTAAAAGCCGGAGGCGCGGAGGGAGGGCAGCACTCGCCCGCTGTAACGAGGCTCAGGCGCCCGGGCGAGCTGGAGCGGCTGAGGCTGGTCGCCGAGGCGCCGAAGGCGCCGATGGCGGTCCAAAAAGCCGAAGCTGCGGAAGCAAGCGTGGGTGCCTGAGCCTCGTTACGCAAGGGCGGAAGGGCTGCACATCCCGCAGCGCCGGAGACGACGAGAAACCAATACATGCTGCATGCTTGCTTTCATGCTGCATGCTCTGCATGCTTATCTACTCTATTAAATTATATATGATTTTTTTAAAGATACGAGTATGTCTGTTATAAAGTAAATTATTCTGAACAACAACATTATGAGTTGAAGTATGTTCTTAGTAACAACATTATTAATTAAAACAATATGATCAATGAATGTTATGAAGAAAAAAGATCTGAAAATAAAAATTATGTATTTTAAATGGTTCTTGGTAGTAACAGTATTGATAAAAAAATTATGATTACTAACTGTTATGAGCTCCGATGGTAGTAATAAAAATGTATGAATAAAAAAAGTATGAAAGATAAAATTATGAAGAGAGATTATTATGAACACAAATCGGTAGTAAGACAAAGAATAGGATTTAGAATTTTATGTGAGCCAATATAGAACCGCGATGAAGACTCGTTAGCCATCTAGTATTGCCATAAGCAAAATTTTATACAAAACCTTTTTATTTAACCACATAATAATTCATTTATCACAGATTATATGAACAGAAACTAACAGACACTGTCTGGAGTAAACAGCTTCATAAAGGGAAAAACATCCAAGTTATATTTACCAATACACAGGTTTTCTGGTATTACCGGTTACCGTGAGATAACGGGCGTGTCGTGTATTTTGACGCGCCTAAAATTGATTATCTCATTCACATTCTTAAACATTTTGTTACAAGACTTCTTACGCCATCTGTCTACTTTAACCCCATTTAATGTAAGTAGACAATAATTGTGTCTATGTAAGAAATAGCTAAAAATGCTTAATATAAAGAAAATTTTCCAATATCTCACATTTTTATCTACCGAGAATACGAATTCCAATATGTCTCAAAAATTGATTCCAGCGATAAGAAATATCTGCGTTCATTCGACTTCAAAGGTACAGTATTGACGTAAATATTAATTCACTAATCGAGTGCATATTTCCTTGAAATATCAAATAAACAAAACAATAACGAATTTAAAACACTAATATCAGCAGAAAACTATTGTTACTCAAATGCAAATTGTTAATTAATGTTCTGAACGTCAATAAACTCAAGTTGAGTTGAGTAGCGCTTTGATGAACTTCGTAGTTAATTTTAGTTGAATTAACGAATAGGGCGGAGTCAAATGAAAACACGATTAACATTGCAAAAGGCAGTAGTAATTGGAAACGAGTCCCAATTCCCAAGTAACAGTGCTTTGGAGTTTATCCAAGAACAGCTAATATTATAGCTGTATCGTTCAGAAATTCAATATTCATCAGAAATTAAACCAATCCCTTGGATCTTGAACTTCGTTGGACAGATTGCTTTATAGTATAATTACTCCTCGGTATCCAATTACTATTAGACGGGTCACCTCTGTCAACAATAATTTGGATTCATAACCTTTATATGGCCTTTGTTCGTTCACAAGTAAATGACCTTAATAAAACATAATATTATTAAGGAAAACAATATGAAGTATTAGTCATTGCATTAATCTACTTACAACAAACACAAGGCGGGTTGAAGTTTAAATAAAATAAAATAAATATTATGCATCAGTAACATTGTGTTTGTGAAAGTTGTCTCGTGAAACGTTACACAAATACATAGCTCAATTTATTGGTATCTTAATCCTTGACATTGTCTCGTAATCGTAAGCTAGTGTTCAAACTCTACTTTCTTAAATTATTACTGTAATACCTGACGCTTAATCACTAGCTAAGTAATTAATCCCTTCCATAACACAGGCACAATATCGGTATATCACTAACGTCCAAATAGATTATTCTTTTGCTCACAATAGGAGCAAACACAAATAATCGAGCTCAATGTAAAAGGTGTTTGTCGAGGCATCTATAAAAGGAACGCTCGGGGCAGTCCGTAACTTTCCAAAGGACTTTCGCTTTCGTTTACTGTAACTATGTACAATCAGTAAAGCTCGGTCAACGTACACACATCCTCACGAAGCTCATGTAATCGTAAATCATGACAAGCATTTCTTAACTCACACCAATGCAACGTAAGACGTAGTAAGACATGTGTAAGTTCAACTGGTTGCACTAGTGAACAAAAGCAGCGTGTTACATAACAAACGGAATTCGGAATTGCTTGTTCACAAACCAGCATGGTCTGTCATTCACGTGAATATATTGAAAGTTACATAGAACATACTCGATTTAGGTTTTAAGATGAAATATAATTTACCAAGTCACGTCTAAAATATAGTCATGTTGAAGGGCATGCAGTGCCTAAGAAGGTTTAAGAGAATGATGAATAATTTAAAACAGCAAAGTAATATTCATAACCTTGTGAATTTTTGAGCAGGGATTTGAGCCATGTGTTAGCAAATACCCAATCTCAATTTGATAAAGTGAATCTTATTTGGGGAAACATGCCATGAATGTTTAAATTGCTTAATTCTGCTTATTTTGAAATAAGGCACACTGGAATATCTTCTTTATCTTTTTCTTTCATATTGTAGATTTAGAAGTTGCTACTTGGCTATTTTATCTTACACATTTTCACATGACGATTCTTCAATCTAAGCAATTAAAATTTTATTAGGTGATATCATTTCTAGAGTTTAATGGAATTAGCCAGGGCCGGATCGTGAATTTGTGGGGCCCTGGGCTGAAACTTCTTATGACGTTGTCACGTAAAAATGTGACGTTGTCACGTAAACCGACTTTACATTTTTTTTTTAAATTATGGCCTACTTTTTAGCGGGATCTGGGGGCCCCTTGTAACCCCGGGGCCCTGGCCTGCAGCCCAATCAGCCCATAGGTAGAACCGCCCCTGGAATTAGCAATTTAAGAATTTCACAGCTCGACAACAGCACTTGCTTTTTCAGCTTGTAGGCCATTAAGATGTGCTCAAAAATTTGTTCAGAACTATAATTTCTGCTACAGTGGATGCCGTGCATACTTATTACTAAATGTATTAATTTTGTTAATCCAAATTTCTTCCAGCTAGGCTTTTTATGAAATGCATAGCCTACTATGAGCTAAAACAACATAGGCATATTGCAAGTCTTCACTTCATACTAACTAGCACATCGGGATTTAATAGAGTCAACTATGCGTTCTGTTCTAACGGAATTTACGGAACTAACTATACCGTGCTAAAGTTAAGGTTTCCTAACCTTGTCATGCCTTAGTAGAGTGAAGACTGTTACCTTTTTGCTACCTTTCTTCACCCCATATTGGCTTTTTCCTAAATGATCTTATGTCACAAGATTTTCGTGTCAACCACACATTTATGTTTTGGTTATGGAATCGCAAACAGCTCAAATCATTTTGCAGAATCAACATCGAAACTAAACGTATCTATAGCAATATAATAACAACGCGAAAGTATTCTGTCTGTAACGTTTTCACGCTTTTACTGCTTAACTAATTTTGACGCTACCGTTCGTCTCAATTTTAGGTCCGAATCGTTAAACGAAACCACATGAATTTATACTTAAAAACTGCTTCAAGTCTGTGTTTGCTACAAATTTTGTTAGCTAGTAATCTTAAAGTTCCCCTTTTCATTGTACAAGTAACAATCTAACACGATGAGAAGGAAGGTAGCTATTTAAACGAAGTTGATTTTAGCGTATATTTCGCGTGCGTGAATTAGGAGGCTACAGGAGCTCTTCACAGCCATCCTTTCCTCGTGATAGGTGGTCAAACTAAGCATACAACATTGGTAGTTATTTAAACGCACCTTCCAAAGTCGCTGGGCAAGCTGGTGAGGGACATGTCATTTAGCCCGAGGACGGTGAGGGCCCGCAGCTGGCTGAAGCCCGCTGGCAGCCGAGGAATGGGGTTGCTGCTGAAGTCCGCGATCTGAAGCGCTCGCAGCTTCTTGATGTCCTCAGGGATGTCGGGAATATCTGGAAGAATAACGAATGGATCACACCGTGGACTAGTCACTTGACGAATCTTCTTCTTTCATTAGCCCTCGCTCACTTATTGCACCATGGATTTCCAAAGGTCGAATAAAATAAATGCATGAGACGATATTAAAAGATTCAATAAGTTTTTGATTGATTAATTACACAAAATGGTTCTAAACTAAATGGATCATTTAAGAAAGAAATCCTCACGTAAACGATAATAATACGTTTAGCACGTATTTTGATTAGGTAGTTAAATAGTAGTAGTAGCGCAAGAAGAGCATTATGTCTGGCAAATATCTAAAGTCATATTTTGGGTTAAAAAATATGCGGTTTCGTAAAGGCGTCGGGGAGTTCTAGTATCGGGCTAAATGGATTCAGTTGCTGATAAGACATTATTAACGATTATACAAATTGTAAAGAGAGTAAATTTCGAGACAATCCAGCTCCCATATTGACCAAAAAATAATGATGACGTAAGCATGCACTGAAATTTCAATGCGAATAACATTGATCGGCCATACAAGGAGTTGGCGCTGAATCGTGATTCTGGCATAATTATGACACAGTTCACCAGACGAGGACCATTACGTAGCGGCGCATTGCTCGCTGAACAAGGGCCGTCGAAGGTCGATACAACATAATTGGCACATGGACACGTAAACATTGCTGTCCTGAAAATAATCCGCAATTGTATCGCAAAGTTTAAACAAAACATTGTGAACGATGTGAGAACAAGGCCGATGTAACTAGGTAACCACAACCAAAATTAAAACAAACCAACCGACGAGACGTCTCCGTGCGTTTGTTATGATAAAATTTACTTTCGTTCAAAGACTTGGTTGTAAATACGACACAACTACTATAATGTGCCCAATAATGTTACACATTGAGAGTATTGATAAAAAACAGGGCAAACAGATTACGTCTATTGGTTTCAATTGAAACCACTATGAGAAAGATAAAAATAAATCTATTGCTATTAAACACGATGTGCGTCAGTATTAAAAAGTTTTATGAGATTCATTCCTCTGAACAAAACGAACGCTTCATTTAAAGTTTGTCAATTGTGATTAATACTTTTAAATTCGGATAAGTTATCTCTCTTTTGCCTATCTGCGATTGATATGTTATGTATTTGGTTCAGTGTTAAAATTTAGGACACTTAGATATAGCCAATAAATTTTGCATACAAACCAGTTTTGAACATTTCTGAATTCATCTTCGTAGTTAATTAAGGTATTTTAGTGGATTTAACAGCGACCTGGATGAATTCGAATCATCAATAAATTAAGATTTGGGGTTTGATTATTCAAAAGGTCAAAACATAGTCTGCTACAGCTGTCGTTACGATAGCAATAACCATATTAACGGTTGTAACCGCTAACTGTACAGGCGCTCCGAAGTTCGCAACAACAGTAACTCGGCTGACGGATACACAAGTTCGCAGCTCACCCGATATGCATATTAACAATTACAGAACCGCTACGTTCGCGTGTACCGCTTACAACTTATTTAATCGATACACAAATCGATTAAACAAAGTAAAAATACAGTGGTGAGGGTTGAGATGATTACTTGAGTTAAAATTTTCACTGGCTCAATTCTGCCGTCAACAGTTAATGATGCAAGACTCAATTAATTTAATAACAAAACGATTAACAAAGGCACTGCTAAACTGGTTTTCTAATTTCACGATGGTAACGGTAGTGCGGCCCCGTTTCCGGTTTGGGGACGGACATTCCAACAGGCGTGTCGTCATCAATTGTCAAGCTTCAGAAACCGGAGGACTAGAGCGTTTGTTGATAGACTGTTGACCAAGAACAATGGCACAGTTTGTGATTGAACCAAATCGTCTTCACAGAGAAAGAAACAGGTCAAACGATATAAACGATTATGAATTAGATAAGCTTGCAGAAACGACCGATAAGATAAAACAACTGCAAATGACCAATGACGAAGAGATTGAGTCCTACAACACTACCTTGTTTACGTTAACGTAAATACGTCGGTCTGAATACGCTTTACGTAAATCGTAGAAAACATAGTATGAAGAAAGACAGCTTTTTTAAAAGTTACGTGCGGCGACGAAAAGGTTGAATGGTTTATGTTAGAATTTTTTCAAAGGGCACAAAGGGGAATGCCAGTGATGTGTGCTGAAGAGTGTCTATTTTAGGAGGTACGGACGGCTACGTGGAATATGTCTCTAAGTGCGCCGCGTTGTTTATGGACGGGGTGCAGTATGCATGGGCTACGGCTATTCAGAGAGTTAAGCCTGAGGCAATAGAACTTCCGCTGGGCTTTTGATACGGCTCTTAACTGTTTGTTTATTTACGGCACGGGCTTTGAATGTAAGTGCTCCTTTTTCTTAAACAATAATAAGTTGGAAGAGTTTAAAATAAACAAACTGTTCAATTTACGATACCTTTTTTGGTCTTGTTATTGTGTCGTGAGGAATCGTTTTGTAACCGAGCAAATTCATTTCGAAAGCGACGGCGCTGTGAACTTTTGAAATATTAAAGCCGGAGATGCTAATCAGTCAGACTACAGAAAATCAAAAGCAAAACGTAAAGCGAACCGATTATACTATATACTATACCTACTCACGGCCCGTTATTAAGAGTATGATGCGACGATACAGATTTGTTGCGTTTATGTTTTATACTGAGTATGCGGTTAGTTTTTTACATGATGTTTTAAGTATTGTCATCTATTGGGTGGGTAAGTATTTTCTTTTGTCAGTCCAGTAACTTTATACTTCCGAGTTCCGACCTTGCGTCAAATCCAGTTGTTCAGATTTTTTGCAGACTTATGATGTTGGTCCAATGAATGATCCAAGTTAGTGACCTTAAGCGCCGAACGCGAAATTTTCGGCATTTTTTTAGGCTTTGGAGATTTTAACCTATATCCAAAAAGTAGACTTCAGCTGTGTAAAATCAATAAAGTTTCTGAATATTTTACACAGCATTTTATGACTCCACATGCAAAGTTTCAACCACGAATGATTGACGGGTCTCAATTACACACATGTGTAATATCCGGTGATGGATACTACAATTTCTGTCCTAATCGGAGAGCTGGAGTTTAAGGGATAGTTCCGTCAGGTTAGTACCTACTATGTAGTTTAACTATTATTACATTGCAAATGAAAAAGAAGAACACACGCTAAGTAGCTACTAGACATAGATGTTTAGGTTTATGTATTTAAGTATGTGTCTGATTTTCAGAAGTCTTAAAAGCTTATATTTCATGAATAGCAGACAGGTAAACTGATAGGCACTTATAATATTGTAATTAATGTAATACAATAACTTAATTACTCTCATAATGCTATCGTCTCTATATTCCCGCCATTAAAGTAAGCGACATCTAAATAAACCTTGTCAATTTATATTAACAAGTCTCAAAGGAGCAGGGAAAATGACAATTTAATGCTACTACTTACATTTATTTAATGAACATGAAACCACTTAATAATCATCCAACTCCGCCTTTGTTTCTTAAACAAATCGCCTTTAGACAAGGAAACCGCAACTCCCAGCGTTGTTATACAAATATCTATTACCTACAATTTTCGCGACAATACGAAAGTCCCCGGTTAATTTGAATTTTCCGACATTGAGACAAGTCAGCTTTGAACAGTCTGAGGAAACCAATTTAAAAGGCAGTCACCGGCAACGATATTGATATCGTTGGTCACTTTACAAACCGTCAGGTTACAAAAAACTTAAGTTTTTTTTTATCCACAACGAGGAAGCTCTTGGCCTGTATCTCACCTGATGGTAAGTGATGGTCAAGCCGAAGGTGGAAGCGAGCTTCACCCGGAATCCTCAACCTCGGAGGAATCTCATCATCTTCACGGAGCTATCTTACCACTAACTGCCGGAACACAACAATACTGTTAACATTGTTGTTATGGCGACAGACTTAGGTAAGATGGTGGTAGCTAGCCAGGCGGAATTAGAACAAGCCCTACCACCAACCAAACCGAATAGAAAAATCTGCCACCACTGGGAATCGAACCCACCCACTAGGGACTAGTCTTTACTATCTCCTATAGTCTACACTAATATTACAAGGAGGTAAAGTTTGTGAGTTGTTTGTAGGACTCTCTGAAATTACCTACTGAACCGATTGTGACAACTCTTTCACCAGCAGAACGCTCCATATTATACCTAGATTACATATTATATCTTTCTGTGACCGACGCTACGGCGGAAAAGTGGACAACGTTTAAGTTAAGTTTACTAAAACACACCCATGTCCTATGGGACGTCTCAATTATCGTCCCAATCGAGATCTACGAGGCTTTTACTTTCAAGGTTGCATTCGAGAGGACATGGATTTCTTTATAACACCGATGATTACATACAAGTTACGCAGCGCATTACAATATGCGTTAGATTTCATTACGTGCCTACATAAAAAGCGACGAATGACGCGGCGCAACCGAGTAAGTGAATCAGCCTTATTTGAATTCCATGTACGTGCTGTTTTCTAGTCAACACGTGATTTTCTGCGTACATCATACACGCTTTGATTTGTTTTCTGATTTACGTGTAACATTATACGCGAACATGGAATACGTTGCTGAAAAGATTTTGAAGTGACAAAAAAATTTAAAGGATTTTTGCAAACAGCGATGAGAATATTCATAATGTAACTTTACTTAACTAATACGTCGGCACATCAAGTTAAACATTGTGGCATCTTATTTTAATGTAATAAGTGCGATTTTGAAAGAAAAACTTGTAAGCTAATACAATAATAATAATAATAAATATCCTTGGACATTTTACACTGCGCCTCTAGTCCCAAACTAAGCAAAGCTTGTACTATGGGTACTAGACGACGGGATAAACATACTTAAATACTTTTTTTTTGTAAATACATACATATTATACATAGAAAACACCCAGACCCGTCACAGAAATTAAAATTCATCATTTCAATTTCTGCCCGGCCGGGAATCGAACCTGGGACCTCTCGGTACGAGT